CCTCAGTCTCCAGATGGAAACAGAGCACCTGACTCACAGAATTCAGAGCTTCAGATCTGGGCACAGCTTCTAAACCACAGAACTATGAGCCAATATATGGATTTGGCTTCAAGTTAGCAAGCTTGTGGTAGTTATAAAACAAAGGGAAACAATACAGATGGGAAGCCACATACAAGGCAAAACAATAAAAAAAAAAACCTAGAGGACTGATCAGATGGCTCAGTGGGTAAAGGTGCTTGCCACCAAACTCTATGACCTGAGTTCAATGCCTGGAACCACTGGTAGGAGAGAATGGACTCCTGCAACTTATCCTCTTGTCTCCACAGTCAGTTGAGTTTCAAGTCAGCCTGTGCTACATGAGACCCTGTTTCAAATAAAACAATAAAAGGCACAAAGCACTTGACAAAATTCAACATCTACGCATGATAAAACAGTATACTAGAAACATAATGTTCTCAACCGGACCCAAGACATTTAAAACTAATCTAGGGATAACAATATAGTCACTGATGAAAGATGAATACTACACCCACTAGGCAGAGGGAGGCAAGGATGCCTGCTCTGGCCATTATTCAACACTACACCTAGGGTTCTGGTCAGTGCAACATGGTAAGTGACAGATATAAAAGGCAGAAGATTGGAAAGGAAAAAAGAAAAACTACCTCTAGTCACAGACACAAGCATCAACATAAGACAATCCTGAAGAATCCACAAAGGAGCCTAAACATTAAGTTTAGCAAGGCCACTGTATACAATCAGTATACAAGAATCTACTATAGCCAGTGTGATGGCACAGGTGAGTAACCCCAGCACTTTGGAGGTTGAGGAAGAAGGATCATAAGTTCAAGGTTAGCCTGGGCTACTAAACAAGACTACTTCAAACAAAAAATTGTTATTTTTACAATAAATTGGAAACTGAAATCTTTTTCTTTAAAGTATTCCTTTTTTCTGTTTTTATTTTTATTTGTATAGTGCATTGCCTGTGTGTGTGTAAGTGCAACTGTGTTTTGCAATAGCCGCAGAGGTCAGAAGACGGCATTGGATCCCCTGGAACTGGAGTTAAGGACGGCTGTCAGCTGCCATGTTGGCATTAGGAAATGGATCTAGGTATTCTGCAAGAGCAGCCAATGCTATTAATTGTTGAGACATTTGGACAGTTCTTGTATCA